GTTTCAGCAAGCTCGTCGTCTGTTTCAGCAAGCTCGTTGTCTGTTTCAGCTCGTCGTCTGTTTCAGCAAGCTCGTCGTCTGTTTCAGCAAGCTCGTCGTCTGTTTCAGCAAGCTCGTCGTCTGTTTCAGCAAGCTCGTCGTCTGTGTATTAGCTCGTCGTCTGTTTCAGCAAGCTCGTCGTCTGTTTCAGCCAGCCCGTTGTCTGTTTAAGCAAGCTCGTCGTCTGTTTAAGCTCGTCGTCTGTTTAAGCTCGTAGTCTGTTTAAGCTTGTCGTCTGTTTTACGTTTTGTTCCTATGGTCTTTCGTAGGTTCTATCTTCGGTAGAACTGCCTTGGCTACAACGATATCCCCATCAGTTAGACCGCGGCAGCCTTGGGACTTTCAGTAGCTTCAGTGCCACCTTGCGATTACTCTCGCAACTACAAATCTAACGGTTTGAGGTAATAGTTCCCATCTAGTTTTCACAGTAAAGACGAAGAACGAAAGTTAGTCACCTTTTAGAAACAAGCAAGCAAGCAAGCAAACAGTAGATATCACTACTGCTCATTTAGCGTTTGTTTACGATGTTTAAAGCAGACATCTTAGCCGATGCACAGCGCCCCCAGGATGTTGTGATCGGTACTGCAATTTTTCAAAGTCAGTAGTTGCCCTTCTAACTAACTTGCGAGATATTAGACCCGTCATATGTAAGGAATAGCTTGATCTTCTCTCAGTATTTTTCTTGGTGATAGCAGAATGTAGTAGATCAATTTTATACGCGGAAGGGGGGTGGGTATCTTACTGCGCAATACCCCCTGCTTTAGCTGCGGCACACCGCTGCTTTTAATATATGAACTGACTTCGACCAATCTTTTTAATAGCTGCGAGCCACAATGGCACTTTTAAAATTCACTTATGCTTGCAAATTAATCATCATATCGGCAGCTAATACTGGGCAATGTCTCGTTGCTTTTCGAGATATGACACATACATGTATGCTTAAAACTTTGTATGAATGGTTGTGAAGTCAAAAAAGGATTTTCCTACCTTGTCAATCTGAGTTTTCTTCCTATAGCATGTTCTCCTTCTCATGATTGCACTGCATGCCAGCAATCATTTCCTGTTCATTTACACATGTAACATGTCAACAGCATTATAAATGCTTACCTTTCAATACTTTGAACCTAAGCTACATTTGTAGGTCTTTAAATTATGTATGGAATCTATCACTACTATTCATTGTCAATTTCTTTGTAAATTTATATGCCCGGGAATTAACACTCTCTCTTTATATATACGCTGTTTGTCTATTGTAACTAGTCCCCTCTTATTTAATTGAAAACAATTACACTTGACTTACTTGACGTGTGGAGTGCCCGTTCTCTTCTGCAGCCCTGTCTCCTGCCTTGTACAGCTCTCTCCACACCATCAGTTTGTAGGCCCAAATATAGTTTCACTAGTTGAAGCTGCTACATGGAGGTAAATTTTGTACTTTTCCCGAATTCAATTGTTCAATACAGCTTAAGAAATGGGCTTGTGTGATGTGATTGACTGCTACAACTAAGTACTGGTATTGGTGGAATGCTAGAAAACAAGGCAAGAGATGGCAGATCTCAAACCTTTGTTACCCATACTGCTTTGCAGAAAATAGCAGCTGAGAATGTATGGCAATGCTGCATTATGTATACATTGCAAAGATATACACACATACATGCCAGCCAAGTACAATATTTCATTCCCTTGGAGTGTAATAAAAAGAATAAATTGGTCAACATATAACATATGTACTGATTAATAGTACAATGCATATGCATATCAAAAGATTTATGACTTAATTGGGGTGAAGGTATTGCCCACTGCTTCCTAAATCAAAAGAAACAACTCGCATGTGCAAAACGGACATTTTATTAATACTGTTATATTTACAAGTTTGCAACAACACTCTGCTCAATGTCATGTAACACACGGCAGTGCTCGAACATTAGGAATAGCTACAATAATTTTCTTTCCAAACAGATTTAACAGCTCCAAAAACAGTGCTTTCCACATAGCTGCATCATTTACCAATGCCAGTGTTTCTACAAATTCACTATAACTGTCACATAAACTGGCCAGCTCCATTTGTGAACTGGGGTGCTCGCTCGCTGTTATGTACAATACGATTTTCTACCTGCTAAGAAATTTCTTGCCTTTTAACTCAACGTTGACAATATAAAAATAGAAAATCCACATACAAACATGGCAGTGCACCAACTAGCAACACGTATAACCTGGAAACTACCACAAGCAAGAAGGGCAGAGTCTTTGTCCCTTTGGAAAGGGTTTATCATTGTCATACATGGTAGTGAAAACTGACTGCAGTTCACACTTTTAAGTACAGGGGGCTCTGCTAAGATGTAACAGCAGCCATTTTGCTTGTGGTTATCTTTGTATTTCAAATGTGCACAGTAACAGCCATCTTTGGCTGTTAGTCCATGTCATCATGTTTAAAAGGCAAACAATTCTAGTCTGAAACGCTACTTTGAATCATCAATAAAAACGATTGTCTAGGTTTCCAAACAATTGGCTGAACTGCTACACTATGCTACATACATGTATTCTTCATGCCACCATCCTAGATTATACAGGTCAGATCAGTGCACTATGTGCCCCAGAGTATAGATAACATTGTTTCCCAGTCTTTCACAAGGGTCCCCCATTGGGACCACTACTGAAATACCAAGAATGTAACTAGACAACCACCACCATGTTCACTCCACAGTGGGCTACAGTAACAGGAAACTAGATATTCACCTCTAGAACTGTCCTGAAGCAGCCTTGTATAATGCACTAAATACATATTTCAAATAAAGTGCATAATTACTAACACTTTGGATGACAGTCAAATGAAGCATAAAGGTCCTGTTTGTAAGATTGCCACAGCTGGGAACACTGTACTACCGGTACCACCTTTTGTGAAAAATATATTTTCCCAATTTAATTACCGGTACTCTTTGGAATACTGGTACCTGATGGTTCTAGTTATGCTAATGGGACCATGAAAAGATGGTTGTTATTGTCAGGTGGCTGGCAAATGCTGCAGGCTTGACTGTATCTAATGAATTCCAGAATTTTACAACATAGATGCTATCAAATTATTGGTCACCAATCTTACAAACACCACCTTTAAGTTGACTACAGTGGACTTGGACAGTAAAAGCAAGTACAATACAGCATTCATGTATGTCCTTGAGCCTTGTTCCTAGGGGTAGATAAGAATCCAATAAGCACCTAAAAGGTAACCATTTCCACCTGGTTTACGTCCATCCTACTTCAAGGGCTGACAGCCTCTTCTATCAGCTGGAGACATCTTGGTTTTTAAAGGACCATTTGCTTGGCTGGCATGCCCTGATGACTGGAGATATGACTGCGGCTGACCGGCTGACGTTAACACTCGTGAGTGCGCCAGGTGCTCGCGTGTGACAACATTCTTGTGGGACACAATCACTGTAGAATGACCACATTTCAAAGGCAACAATGTCTGTACATGATTTCTCACCGAAACCCCAAAAAATTGCTTGTTGTGTGAAATTTGTGCATCGATCTTTGGCACAAGCAAAGAGATTGTGTGACACTGTGGTAATGAATAGTACACAGTGCTGATGCCTGTTTAGATATGCAACAAAAGACTGCAATGACCCTGCTAGTATTGCTGTAAGTAATGCCTAATAAAAGCAATTGATTCTCTATAAACCAGCATCACATCTGCTGGGAAAACCTTTAAGATTTGACTGTTGCATACAATTCTCAATATTAGCAAAATGAGAGTAACAATGGAACTACAATTACCAATGAAAAGTACTCTACATTAAAATTTCTATACAATTTGTTAACAATTACATAGGCATGCAGCATTTCTTACAAATGTTATTCTGAATCACCAATGTTAGACCATTACACAGTAGCTTCTTCAAAAATATATCTACAGGCACTATTTATGCATTCCCACCTCCCCTGCAAAACATTTGAAAGTAAGAGTAGAGTGCAGTTTGCCCAAGGGTAGCGTAGGCTGCATCATACATCAAACTGTCATTTGACCGTGACACTTGGATCTGCTAATCTATGTAAGGTCCAATGAAGCTTAGCAGGAAGACTAGCTAATTTACAACATAATGATACCCTTAGCATAAAAAATTAATGAGATCTTGGCAAGTACAAGGCAACTGCCACCTACCACCTGCATGGCGCTTACATTTCAATTTCAAATGCCTGCTTATAATATTAATGCATGCAATCGATACACAGTCCTCCTGTACAATGCACCACGTCTCTATAGGCACACACGCCACAAGATTCTAGCCCTATGCTCTCTTCTGACAGTGCCTGCGGCACGCACAAAGTACACATGCATTTCCACACACTGCGATTTAGCGATTCCTGTACAATGTCATTCACAGAGCTCATTCTTATACAGTTGTAGCTGCAGATTATGTATCAAGGTTAGACAATTTCCGCTTCACCAATGCTACTGCTACCCAATACAAAATGACGATACTCAACATTCTAAAAGAAACTGTCATGACGAATAGCATCATACGCAGTGCAACATGTCAACAAACACAGCACCCAGAATACATCACTGCATAAGTCTTTGAACCTGTTTGGTGGAATTTATGACATTTACCATGCTAGAGTAACATAATTTTTTTTTCTAATTTTCCATATCTGTAGAGATTTTCAATCCTCCAGGCTGGAATAGCCAGTATCTACGACAATTATAATGAGCTGGATTGCTGCTACACTTGAAGACGTTGCACCAATATTTCCACAACCACTGTTCCGACTTGTGTGTATTTTGCGACACATCCGATGCAGAGACCAGCTCTGATACAAACTAAAGAAACTCCACAGAATTCTGTTACAAGCTGAGATTGACACCTGCCAAACATCCTTTTGAAATTTCTGACTATTCGTGTGTAGTTTGCCTTCCAGTATAACATGTACTGTATATTGATCCAAGGTGTAACTGATGCTTACATGTATGGTGTAAGACAAGTGGCCCTGTCCTTTGCAGCCTACTGTGAGATCTATAATATTACTTGTTATTTACTCCTACATTCTTTGGTAGGGTTTCGTCACCAAATACATAATGATTCTTAAAACTCGACTTTCTTGTCTTTTCTGGGTCAACAGTGAACTTAAGTACTCTTCAAATGGGACCGTGTTAAGTAGAGTATGAGATATTGTAACAGATAATAAAACACTGACAAGAGATGAAGCAGTTTAGGCGTCACAATCCCATTTTAACACAACTCAAGAATTCTTGTTTCTCTCACAAGGACAGGAATACTTGCTTCTGCAAATGCTTTACATGTATTTCATAGTTTAAAGCATTTTGTTGTCAGCTCACCATGCCAGGATATTTGGACCATGTCAATCTCATCAGATCTTTTCACATTTGGTATACGCTTATGACACAGAAAGACATTGGATATTAGTACAAAAAAATGCAATTACTAAAAATTGTTATGTACAAGTAATAAAATGGCTTCAATGACAAAACTAAAAAAAAAATATTGATAAAAACAATGGCAAGAAAACAACATGTCATGGTCTAACATTTCTGCTTCAAACAGGTGTTTTAAATAAAATACATAAATGCAAAAATAAACTTTAAAAATACAATGTATGACGGCAAGAAAAAAGGCTTTAAATGGGGCTGTTATAAATTTTGTGATCAGCTCCTTTGGCAAAGAAACTTTTGCTGTTGAAAGACTAAATGATTAAGTGGACGTAGGTTGATTTTTGGGATGGCAAGACTTGAAATGACTGTACAGGGAAGCTATCAAACATAGGGGGAAGTGGTTTGTTGTCTGAGGGTGGGGTAGTCCATGTCCATGGTGTCCTTGGGATCCACGATGGGCCTCCGGGAGGCAGGTTTCCGTGAAGACAAGTCCAGCTCCGCGTTATTCAGTCCGTCCTCGTCCCTATACCCACCCTGCGATGTCAGTGGTGGGAAGAGAAAAAAAAGACAACATGAATATCTGCTTTGATGCGGTGTTGGGTGCCATTACGTATCTACAGGGCGTATCTTATTATCCTAGACGACACAGAAATATGCTACAGTACTGGAGATGAAAACAAATTATGACATCAACCAATGAACTACTAACTAGTGTATACTGTATGTCACTGGGTAAGTGGGTTAGTAACAAGTACAATGGAATCTGAGTCAAACACGATTGTGTGTTTGTGGCATGTACATGTACATGGTTTGACAGGACCAGACACTGGCATCGTGAGCAAAATATGTAATGCAGGTTCATTTTTACTAATTACACCAGACAACGTGATAGGTTCTTTCTGCATGAACAGTTGTTTGAACTACACTGGAAAGTGATGGAATACATTATGAACCACTGTTTGATGTTATACATCACTAATGCTGGCAGACAAATGACTAAATGTGTTAGTAAAGACGTACAATTATTCTTCACTCTGGATTCATTGATGCTCGGGGAATACAAAATGCAGTTGGCTCCCATCCAACAAGGTGGCAGCCGCTGAATTGATGACAAATTATCTGACAACACCACCTACACTGGATGTAATTTTCAAAGATTGCAATAAAGATTGTCTTATTGATCCATTCTTCTTTTTTGTTACATTACCATATTTTCCGGCAGGAATACCTGTGCTTTGTGACCTGGAGACTTTGGTATAAATAGAGCGGAGCATATTTCATTGCCATGCAATGGTGTCCAAATATGTAACTGGTACATACATGTAATATGTGCTTCTATGTTATTGTAAGGGGGTCACAATGTCCACTTCACTAAAGGTCTTTCCCATGGGCCTGCATTATTGATTGATAAGCCAGTCACCCAACCATGAATATCACCCTTTATGGGCAGGGTACACTTTTGGACACACCTTAAATCCCTGCCTTTGGCCAAATTAAATCAATTCTTTGTGCCACACATAAACAAGTATTTGTCTTGGTACAATTTGACAAACTGCGAGAGCACTGCTGGCTTTACGTATCACAAATGAATTAACAGTTCTTATAAACAGATGATTGAAATTCAAATTTGCGATAAGGAAGAAACTCAGATTTTTACCTGAGTCAGCCTCTGAATATTACAGCTTGGCTTGACCTTGCCAGACTTGGGAAGGAGTAGAGGCAACCCCGGTGTTTATTTTGTTTTGCCTGATATTTATGGAGTGTGAAATGAGTGGCAGGAGTACCAATCTGGCCAGCCATGAAATCATTGGCTGACCTTTGACCAGCGATGACAGGCTGTACACATCTAGATGTACATCATGTAATTGTGTTGGTGCAGGCCACATGGTGCTGTAACAAGAGAACTCACCAACCATTATTGTTTCACCTAAACAGAAGGGCGTATGCAAATTTATGCATCTGTTCTCTCCAACAGCTACAAGTAGTAGCATTTACCACATGTTAAACCTGACTACTGAAAGGTGTCATACAAATGTATGTGGGTTCCAAAATTCTATTCATCTAAGTTTAACGAGGATAAATATCTGATGAGTAGATATTGCTCAGGTCACCCCAATATACATGTAAAGGTCCTCTGCTAGTGGTTCACATTTAATGCTCGGGTAGTCGTATGTATGTGTGATTCAGAGTGTATAATGTATGCATGTTGTATGTATGTATGACCCTGTGATGTTAAGTTGCACGTGGTGTCGCGTCCCTCAAAACCATTAGTGCCCTCAACCCGGATAACCTTATTAGATCGCGGCTGGGGCCATCACCGAAACCATCAGCTAGACTACAGTAGGTGATTTGAGGTGATCATCTCAATCAGATGTTATTGACACGTCATCTCAACTGCTGCGGACTGAATTTAGATTACCACAACATCACATGTCATGAATACACAAGTTATCCACATTCCCAAGCATTGTCTAGATTATTCCACCACCGAAATGTGTCACCCAAGGGCACATCTGAGCAACCATGACACTAGGATTCCGAAAAAATGAATCTATCAAATTTTACTGTAGTTAAGCCTTCTTGGACAGGAGGCCTTTTTGGGCAGGTATCTATGGAAAAAAATTTAATTGGGACCAGAAAAAAGGTGGTTGTTATGGTGGTCTGCTGGTCTGTACATTGAACCAAGCTGGTCCCACCCTATCTTCAATCTTAGTGTCCACACCCTTGCGTTAGTGAAGGCTCAGATGGACCCATGGGATTGCGTTAGATGCGTCAGCCCCACCACCGCCACTGCTGAGGTTAATGCCACGGCCTAACCCCTGCACCAGACTGCCATACGAAGCGGACTCAACCTACGGTTTCTGCTCGTATGTCTCACGGGCTCGACGAGCACATCGAGATCTGAGTCTGAGTCAGTTTCAGAGTCAGTCGTCAACAGTACACTGCTCTCCTGTCAAGCAAAAGCACCACGAGTTATCCTCACAGCAGGCTACGGGTTACATGTACTACTGAAGGCAGGACCGTATCCCTACACCATTGCGCTGAAGCTCAGCTGTGGGGGAGGGCAGGCGGGTCACACGTACGGCTTTCCCGGTAGTCCACAATCGGGGAGCTCTCCAGATCTGTGTCAGACTCGGAATCAGAATCGGAGGTCAACAGTAAACTCTTCTCCTGTAAACAAAAGCATTGGATAAAGGAACCACTGTTGGAAGTGAGAAAAAGTGGTTTCCTTATGAACAGGCTGTGTTATAGTCTCTACTGACAAGAAGAGGGGAGGGGGGCATATATAAATCCTTTTGAAATCAGTTTTCTCCAACTTCAAGCCATGCAAAAGAGGTACACAAAGCACTCTAAGAGATTATGATTACTACAAATCCATCAGTACTACCTTTAGTAAGGTAGTAAGGTACAGTCATGTAACTTATCAAAAGACAGATGAGTAAACACACCCAGTTACTTGTATTGTAGTGGGTGAGATGCAAGAGCTACAAATCTTTACACACGGTTCAAGCAGAACCTAAACAGGTTTATGAAGCTGATTCCTCATGAGGACTTTCAAAACTACAGCCCTTTAAAAGCACAGAGAAGGTCCTACCCAGAGGAGAATAACATTAGCACTGCCTACGTCAAGAACTGCTCCATAAAGACTGCACCTTCATCCTTACATTTTCAGCAGCAACTGGAACTTACTGAAGCTGACCTTTGCAACCTTCGAATGACACCAAGCGAATAGGCCAAAACATGCATACTGAATGAAGACCTACGTCTGGATCTGGGGCCTCACCAGCGACTAGTACTCCGTCCTGTAAATGAATCCTTATTTTAACAGCTGATGACGGTGGTTTGTCCGGAAAATGAAGCCTTATTACGACAGGCTTCTGTTGTGAAAGGGGCCGACAATTTGACATCTGAAGTTGAGTTGAAAAAATACATTTACAGTGGCAAAATTCAATCTAACCTCCAACATCATACTCTTATATTTTTTTCACAAATGAGTCCTAACCTTGAAGTGCAGTTTTTGTTTCATAATGTGTCCAAAAGCAAGGTTTCTCCCCTAATCTGCTGTATTTTTTGACATGTGCTGCTACAGGAAATAGAAACAGGATCATGACCTTCCAAATCTATCTTAGTGGAAGGATACCAGCAGGTTCTTAACAGTTAATCCAAACACTCTTATCCCTCCCATGTTTTTTCTGGATTACCCATCGCCTGTAGACCATATATGGCAATACCCGGGAGGTAAAGCTGTTGATAAGCTGGGTTAAGGCGCTTTCTTGGCTGTGACAGATGAGACTTGTATTTCCCAAGAGCTTACAGTACTGATGGATTCTACTGTGGGAGAACAAGGCAAACAGGTTTCCTGGTTTGCACTTACCCTGTGGCCTTTCATCTAAGCATTAATCTTAACCCTTACTACTCCGGGGGTAATGTGAAGAATCAAAGTTGCATCGACTACCTAGGATGTTAGACTGCTAAAGGTTAACGAATTGATTGCCTGGGATGTTAGAGTGCTAAAGGTTAACGAATTCACAAGAGGCATAAATAGGCTACTAATGCCACATGTATCTCTGGTACAGAAGGTTGGTATTGATGTTGGCTTTGTTCAGAGAACCTCCGAGGATGCACAAAGCATGAACAGCTAATGTAGCTAAATTATTCATGGACGTGACGAAATTGGTTGATGGCTTCTTTATTAATGGTTTGGGGGAACAATCTTTGTCAGGGTCAAGGGCAGGACAGTGGAGTAGGTGTAGGTGTTTCCCTGCCTGCCTAGAGGGGTTTTCACTGGGGAATACTTGTACATTATAAGTACGTGAGAACATCAATTAAGGAGAACTGAAGGGGTGAACATTACAGATAATGGAAACAAAGCCCTGGTAAAAGGGAATTAAGGTGCGCAGTCTGAGGAAAGCTGACTGTTGAATATAATTCAGACACAGGAAAATATCCTAATTTTGTGAGTATTTTTGGTTATCAGCTGTGAGCAGACATGCATATTTCATTATATATCAGGGTATTGTCTCTTTCCCGATTGGATACTACAATTAACCAAAAAATAATGGTCCTATCATTCTGATGGAAAAGGAGGCTATCTGCAAAATGGAAAACAGAAAACATCACATCTGGAGACTCCAAATTTTAACATCCATAGAGTAAGTATCTGTCTTATGTCTGCAATTTTACTGCATGCAATTTTGGTACTGTGTCTTGCCCATTACAAGTACGACAATGTAAGTCTAGCAAAAGCAGTACAATGTAATTGTGAATGGACAGTTTACTTGTTCAGTCTACTGAGCCATTCGGGGGTAGACCTGCAATAAACCATTGTGGTTAGTTGATGCACAAAATGCACATTATAATGCATACACTTCAACTTTGCAAGGCAAGCTGTAACATGTCAACAACCACGATGCTTGCCGATGTCTAGATGCTGTTGAAAGTGTGTTATAAGCGTTAAAATGGTGAGTATTAAAGCTTGACGTACAATCAGGAAGAAAATACACTCACACAATAGTATACTGCAGATAAGGAAGGAGTAGTAGTCTGTTGTAGAGCCTTACCATTATACTGTGTACGTTTCCAGAGTAAGTCAAGTGGGGAAAAGACAAAATGGGTCATTAGCGAGGCCAGTGGCTACTTGGCTACTAGTAAAACTACTAATACAAGCAAGGAAAGCGAGATGTAAGAAGAGTAATGAAGCAATGCAAAGATCAGGAATATCAGTAAGTAGTGAGTAGAAATTCAGTGAAAGGACTGATAGCAGTAAGAATCGAAACAGCAAAGTAATCATGAATAGTAGTATTACTACCGCCTACGACGGCTGTTTACAAGCAGTTGCTGTCACCATGCCAAGCAAGTGCTCGGTCAGTAAATCTATAACAGCAAGTCGTGCAAAAAACACAGACGTGCATGTAGGGAAGTCGTGGGAGAGGTGGGGCTTATACAACGTTCTGTCAAGAGCACACACCAACACAGGGGAGACACCTTCCAAGGGGTTGAGTGGGTTTGGTTCGTGGTGTTGGGAGAAAAAGTAGCAGCAGACGAAGCGTACCGATTTGACTAGGCGTACCGATTTGGATTGCCGGCCTTTTTTGTTCATAGAGTATGTCACAAAGTGTTTCTACAGTGGAGAACACAAGGTGGGTTAGTGCGCCGCACACCTACCGGAATCGCCGAGCGCCAGCTGGCATCTTTACACCACCATCCCTCGTTACTCTACCGAAGCTCCTACTGTTTCCCTCCCTCAGTCATTTTTCATGTCTTACACCGTGTTATCACATCGCATCCAGCTAATACATCACCCCACAAACACAGCCCTTTCTCTATAGGTGATAAAACCCTCTCAGTACTGAGCCGTGATACACCAAATGTGATTAGCAGCCTACAGGCCAGCCTGTGACTCCAAGATACACACGTCTTCATTCATATCATCCCCCAGCATCCCAATCATCAGACACTTCACTCATAAATCATGTTTTTTACAGCTATTACCACGACTCCATCATTTGACACTAAAGACTTGTTTCTGTGATTAGTCTTAGTCTTTTGCAGTTAGAGAATGATGAACGTAGATATATGACAGTTAGAAGAGTTGTGAAGAGTAGAATGGCACAGGAGAGAGATGCTACTACTGTCAAGAAGCAAGAGTCATACACAACTCGTACAGTTTGTATAAAATACATATAAAAGCAGTTTCCCATCATAATAATCATTGATAATGGCAATGGCATGTTTCAAAGTGAAACCACATAAGTCAAACCTCACTTGAAACTTAATCTGAGAGATGGAAGAAGGAGAGGCTGAAAATATGTCAGAAGCAAATCTAAACATGCACATGCAAAGTATGTTCACTTTGGGAAAGGATCACGGTTTGGAAACAAAAACCCTGTTCCATTAAATCTGAGCACTTGTGCTTGCTTTACTGTGAATAAGGCATGCATACATGTAAGTGCTCAGTTGGAAATAAACACAGTGGTTTCACCAAGAAACATCAATAAAAATTCATCATGAAATATGCCAAATCCATGCAATATAAGGCTTCAACATTAGAAAACCTTAACCCTTGTATTTATCAAGCAAATCTAAGGTTAATAATAAAATAAAAAGAATAAATTCAATGGCAATAGAACAGTACTAGCTGTCAACACTTAAGCATGACACACACAGACGAGTTAGATTTCATCATGGCCTGCCCCTCCAATATATCATAAATCTGAAAGACACAGATGGTGATTAATGTAATGGTTATCCACATACGACAGTTTGATCAACGACACCAGACACAGACAACAGTAAGACCAGACATTAGTCCTGGGTTAATGTCCTACCTGAACTGGCGGCTCCTCTGTGGTGGGTTCCGGGAATGCTGGGGAATTGACCTACGCCAAGAAAACGACAGAAGGAACAACCGTACGATAAGTCTACATCCTCTACACTTTGTGCACATCTAAATACATGTGATCACGTCCGTTGTTAGTTACTATAGGTTATGTTAAGTGTTAAAAATGTAGTTATGAAGTAAGACATGCCTTCTTTCCGTCAGGTTTGTCCTGGCCAACCGGAGATCTGGGTTCGCCGAAGCTTGCGCCGCTCAGTCGTGCTTCGTAGCTGGCGGCGACGAGAGGCGTGGGGATATACTGACTGCTTTCTACTCTGGAGGGGAGGGGCGCGGTGGGGGACTTGTCCTTGTCGGCCATCTCGATGGAGAACTCGTTGGTGACATTCTCATCCCTATAAGAAACATACCTGCAGTGAGTAGAAACTTTTCATGAGGAGAAGTGGTAGTGAGAGAGAAGATGAGGACATCAAGGCCACAGAAGAGAACTCAGGAAGCCACAGTTTGTATCCCCAAATTCCTATCAACTGCAGGGTTTGAAATCAGTGAACTTGTGCCATTCAGATCCAACTACATACACTTCCTTCCTTCCTTCCTTCAAGAATAAAATGAAAGTTCCTAGATCTGTTTTTGTACACGGATCTGGTTTTAGAAATGTTATCCTGTTAGTCGATTTGCCAACAAAAATATCTGTGAAAGCATTGTGCGTACTTGTAGGGGTATTTTTATTTTTGCAAAAGTTCTTCCTGCTCCCAATTTGAAATTCACAGGAGGTGCATCTATGAATGTTTCCAACCCTGAATTGATATGTATCAATTTGAGAGAACCTCTAGAAGCAAACTAAAGATACTGTAACAATTGCAGACAAACATCTACATGTATAATGTATATCTACCTTGGCCACATCAATTTCGCTCTCTGGTTCTTAGATTTTCCAAAATGATGTTGAAAGAAAGAAAAGAATGCTGGACATTCAAATACATGAAAATCAAAAGTTGAAGACTGCTAATTAATAAGGTAATGTTTTCTCTAACAGCCTAATCTCGAAATTCATTTTGAGTACTTAAATTTGTGTGGCCTATTAGTTCTACCACATATCCTGCTATGTCTCTTACATATAGAAAACTCAGAGGCTTGGATTTCTAACAGTGAGAGTCTTAAGTTTGAACGGATTTGCATACCAAAACATACATGTGTTACATGTACGTTTGACACTTGTTTCCGGCAAAATTTTTCGATTTTAGATATACCAAGATTCAAGTAATGAAGCAGTCAACTACCTTCCACCCTTCCCAGTTTCTGGTTCACCTGAAAATAAGAGAAAATGTCATTAATGATATTACTCATAGTGATAACATAGTAACTGCAATTAACAGTGAAGGTTACCGTATCTAATCTGGTCAGCTGTAATCTATCACATACATGATCTAACGTTTAGAGGCAGAGACATCCCCAGAGCTTTGCTCCTACCACTTTGGACGGACCTTTCCGGAATACGATGGGTTTTTAACAAAATTTGGGTGACCAGCCTCTTGCACATTATAAATTATGTCCATTTATCCAGAGCAAAATGTTATTACTATCTTGACTTGGTTAGGTTTTTAATCAAATTTGGCTGACGTCAGATTGACACAGGGGGTGACGTGCTTGACAGTAAAATTTGATGGTTCAAAACTGGTCTTACAAAAACTCTGAAAATGTCCCAAACATGGTAGTGGCAAAGTGACGTCCATGGTATTCTATAATCCAATGCTCATTTTCTTTTTCTACAGGGAAAGTCAAGACAAATTAGTCCCCCCAGTGGGGTTTCAGTAATACAGATTTATATCAACATGCTGTCCCTGTGGGCAATTGGCCTACTTTTGTGAATGAAAGGTTGGAAGGTTAAGACCCACACAAAGGGATCCTCAGTTCTGGTCTCCTTAATAGCTACTAGATTATTGAGAAGGAAGAAAAAGTAGGCCAAGTGGAGGTCACTTCAGCCAATGAAGGATGTAGTCTAGCATACATGCATATACTGTAAATTTTTTCTCCTTAAACCATGATAAATGTGACAAACACAACTAACAAGACTTTTTTAAATTCAAAACTGTTACAAAATATAAGTAGTTATCATTATGTATGACTAAACTCATTTTAAAAATTCTATGAAAGAGATCCTGGGATTGAAAGCAGGGAAAAAATGCAGGTATATGCATGAAAGGGGATCATGATATGATGTTAACACCAAACAACTTGAACACAAAATATCCTTGTCGTTTCTTATGCCATATGGCATAGTTTTATATTCACAACTGCTTCTCTAAGTTTACAGCTTGAAATAAATTACATTTTACTGTTGCAGTAAAATTCTATTTGCCATTTTATTCTGATCATAAAACCAGCCGACGCACATTGTACCGCCTCTGAATGTCCTATCAAGTAGAGTAATTCTTCTGCTTCATGACCCAATTTTAGGGACAGTGATGCATCCAATGTACATTAACTGGCGTGTCAGAATTTTCCACCTGTATGCCACTGCATGCCATGGAGTGGAATTTAACAGCAAAGGTAGACTGGTTTCTGAGACATGCTTAATATGGCATGATACGGGACTTGTGTAATGTACGATATTAATAGAAGTCGGAATGGTAGAACACTTAATTGCATCTCATCAAACTTCTAAGTTCCCATAAAGATTTCAGAATGCGGTAGATCGCATTAAAATGCTTTCGGCTCAAAACAAAGTGCATAGAATGCCTGATCTGAAAAGTATGGTACAAACAACATGCAAAATCATGAGAGGGCCATACAAACGAAACAATACCCACAACAAAAAAGAAAATAAGGCAGGGATGCAGGAAATGGCAGACAGAGGAAGGAGAAAAGTTCCTACCTAAAGAAAGCGGAGTATCAGATAGATCCCTCACACTGATGAGCTGGATTTCGGTAGAACCCGCTAGTTCGTAAAAATTTACCAAATCAGGCACCAAAGGCTTGTGTTCTCACAACAGCAGCCAAAAGAACTACGTCAAGTCCATAGCGCTATACAAGCTGGGAGTATCCAGTAATGCTGACATGTTCTCTGCTATGCAAGGAAGCAGCCACTGTCTAAAAACCCACGCTGGCATGATGGCAGAAAGCTTTATTCTAGTTGGCTAGAAACAAGCATCACTGCCATGCAGGCTTGCACAGACCAGACATAAACCTCAACACAAGCAGATGTCTTCCTTTGCCCAAGCAGCTGTCAACTGCGGCTGTCATGACCACAGGCATGTGTCTTCAGCAAGAGTCTACACAAGCCTACAGCACACAAGGGCATCTCTTTGGGGGAAAAAAGACCACAAAGGAAAATAACAAAGTCTTTTCTTACCTTTGCAGGGTAATAGTCCTCTCTTGTGAGCCAACATCAGGCCAATACCCACCAGCAGTAGGAGTAATAACAAAACAACCACCACTATGATTATGACCAGAGTGGTGTCTGATCCTGTAGGAGGGAAGAAATGGTACAGATAAGTCCAAATCTTAAACTTCAACTGTATCTTTGCCCTATTTTGTAAGCAATGGAGAGTCACAACCCATGGGAGTTCCACACACTAACCACTTGCCTAAACCATGCCATATTGATTTTCAGATGCACACATCGGTCTAGTTGGTGGAATATTGATGAAACCATGGCAGGCAGAGGAGACGACGACCCATTACCGTGCCATGCTCATGACTTTTACGTATCTATTTTCAGTACCATACATGTAGCAACTGCATGGTACTGTGTGTGACAAAGTGATCTGAATTGCCTGTTGATGGTGTGATCATTCATCTGTAGCCCACTGTGGGAAGCTACTGCTATAGATCTGGAGAATTACAACTCAAGGTGACAACATTATCCATCACCCAGCAGTACCATGTAAAGCCCCAATCCTACAGAGAGTTCTCCCTCTCAGTCACACGTAAACAAAAGATCTGTAGGATTTGTCCCTGTGCCAACTCAGAATGCCCCCAGCATTTCAGAATGTGCGGCATCGGCTAGTCAATATGGCTTGATTCAGTATCGGTGGCAACAATCTCGTTCTCTTCCCCCCGCCACGAGCATTTTGTGCATCTAAAACATGTCTGCAATTCGCCGAGTAAACTGCGGGGGCATGCAGCACGTTTGCTATGGGTCCGACGATGGGAGTTATAACGGATTGCCGGGGATGATACATGTAGTTAGCTACGATTAAGCAACTATGCTTAAAATATTACAATGGAGAGAATGTTTCTGGTTACACAATGCAGTTGACACCTGTTCTAAACACTATGGGGGGATGTACATGTAAATGAAAGATGAGACAGGTTAATATATTCCCTTGTCACTTCTCAGCATGTGACAAACAGTACAAAGTGCTTGTATACCTCATCTGAAATCCTCTTATCTATTCAAGACTCTTGGTTGAGCTTTCAGATTTAGGTGCATTGAATAAAACAGTAATGGCCATTATATTGTAAATAGCAGCTGACAAGAGACAAGGGATAGGCTCCCATTCAGGGCTTATTTTGACGAATGTGGGTTGATAAGCCACGACAAATTGAGAAAGTCTTAACTGCACATTCCAATTGTGGTTCCTTATCGTTACTGGTGCAGGCTATGTGAACATTTCATGCGCCTTGACAGGACAACCTACTAAACCCACAGGTCTTCTCACTCCTGGTGAGAAGGCACAAAGGAGTGGGCAGATCAAGAACTACCTGAACAATGCAGGGACTGATAACTGTATAATTCATAAAATCCATACATTCCACTTTTGGGGATCCTAACATTCTTTCTTAAATGTCATGAAACATTCTCAATAGTTTGTTGTCAACTTTTAAAAACTATGCAGCTGAACTGTTCAAAAGCAAATGTACATTTTTAATATCTATCAAGCAGAATACATTTCTACTGAGACATCACTAAGTTGTCCTGTCATGGCTTGTCATTTTGAAGTGTTGTTAGCTTGATTACAAATGGCATCATTAATCATGTCTTGGAGCCATGCATACAGACAGTTAAGCCTCTGGAGGCCCTATCATGGCTCCCACTACAGGAGTACATGTAAACATTTACATACTTGTGAATTAACTAAGACAGCTGACAAGACAGTCCAGATGCCTGGGGTACTGAACAAGCACTGGTGATGATACAAACACGGTTTAGTTAGTACAAGTTGTGCCGTACACACACACGCGTACACACAGTCACGGACATGTGTTGGCAGGCGTACGTGGTGCCATTGTGGACGAGATGAGAATGAGCAGAGTTAGTACACAAGATGCCTGATGCCTGACAGCCCATTGGCTGGTACACCGGCCGTGCCACAGTCCTGGTCTTGCCAAAGCTGCTCTACTCGAGACAACGGTAGCAGGGGGGAGGGGGGCAACACTCTGGAGCTGGTTAGTAGCTCTACAGAAGGTCTACATTAGAAAATGAGGATACCATTGTCCGTGTACAGACCTCTGGCCGTGGTGACCACATCTTCGGCTGAAAGGATAATTAAATGTAGATTTTTGAGTGTGGCAAACAGAATTACTAGAGACATTTTAAGACGTTTCTACAGCAAGGTTTTTAATCATGTTAACTGGACCTCTTCACCCTGCAACTATGTAAAAAGACACTGTTTTATCTATAAAAGAAGATTCTAACAATGCAATCCTGATAGAATTAAGACTTACATGTAGTATCAAAATTACTGAATTATACTAAAAAAGGCTGTTAAACACTGTTATCGAGTTGCTTGTGTATAGTTGTACAACATTAATGGAGAAATAGCATACTAGAACATAACCATTACCTAGTCCATTGGGTGTAAGTACTATAACTGTATAGAAAGAAATTGACACTTACCTTGTAGTGTCACATCGAAGTACTGTTCGTCCTCCCCGTACGTGTTTGTGGCTTTGCAGACGTATCGTCCTGAATGTTCCGGTTTCATACTGTTGATCTGTAGAATACTCTTCATGCCTTTCGGCAGGTTCTCTTGTAAAATCCTGTATGGACCTCCGGTTGTGATAATGGCCCTGTTGTCTGAGGAGTCCAGTAGGAACCACTCCACCCTGCTGGGCCTTGGTTTGGCCTGAATCTCACACACAATCTGCGCCGTTTTCCCCTCCATGAACTCTCGCGCTGCCGGACTGTCTCCAATGATATCCGGACGCCCTGAAATCAAACGTCATACCATATGACCTGTCATTTCAAAATAATATTAACAAGTGTGGAACAATTGAATTGAATTTCTTTCCTTCAGGTACACTTTACCACATAGCAACACAGTACACACGTAATTACAGAAATAGCCAAAACAGAATTTATACATATTTTCAAATATGAGTTCCACTGCACCACTCTGTTGTTTGTGTTAAGTAGACTGTTAATGAAAGAATAACACGTTTTTCTGTGTCTGCATTGAATGTATCTGTGGTAAGGTGGACAAACATTGAGCTAGCGAGCTTCGCAGAAACAATGCATGTGCTTTGAATGCAACATCATTCTGAATGCAATAAAAGACAGAAAGAATGAAGGGAATCTCACCTATAACATTAACTGTAACATTGACAGTGTCCTTGGGGAAATCGAGAGCCGCGGCCACACAAGTGAAGGTTCCGTCCTCGGCGTACGTCATGGTGGCGAAGGACAGCGGATTGTTGAACGTTCTCCCCGACCCCACCTGTACCCACTGGAGGTTGGGCGTGGGGTTACCCTCGGCTTCACAGGTCACCGCTGGCAGGCTGGAACCAAAGTTCACCTCGAACGGTTGCACAAAGCTAGAGCTGATCTTCGGAGCATCTGAAATGGTAGGAGTGAAAATTCTTACATATCATTCTTAAAAAAACTAATTAATTAATTAATAGATTAACGCCTGACAATAAAATTGACATATACCAAATTTAGGAGAGCTTGTACAAAACGATTTCTTTTTATTTTCCAGTCTGTAGGTAACAGGAAAACATACCAAGGGAACCAAGTTACAATCTGCAAATTATACCAAATTAAGTTATGACTGTAGCAGTACTAGTGAATTGAATAGGACTCCTAGAGCAAGTGTTAAAAAACAAATTTCATCTACATCATGCAACACAGGTACATTTTCTTACTTGTACATACACCCAAATTGTACATACAGGCTGTAATACTAAGTATACACTCACAGTACACATCTATGTTGACCGTAGCCTGTCCGTCTGATTCTCTGTCCCGGGGTATGACGCCGTTGCTGGCCTCGCAGCGGTACGTCCCGTTCTGAGACCTGTTGATCTTCGGGATGACGTAGGTGGTGGTCAGGCCGGTCTGCAGGACGTCGGCCGAGTCTCCGCTGACCTTCAGCCACCTGATCTGGCTGGGGTCAGGGTTACTCTGTACCACACAGGTCAGGGTCAGGGTGTTGGTCTCCTTGACGGAGCTGTTGGGATTGGAGCTGATGGATGCAACGGGTGGATCTGACAAAAAAAAAAACCATAAGAATGGTTAGAAAAGTCTCAAGGTCAGAATTTTTCTAAGCCTTCAGGCCACACTAATTTAATCAATTGGTTCTCAGAATTGCCTGCTTTATCTTTTTTATATGTGAAAAAATATATATATTCAGGTTTTGAATCAAAACTAAAACGTGTGTTTTTACTTTATGACTCTTATCATAGTATCTAAGGCTATTATACTAGGGCCTAGGGCTGTTTTTTTTTTACTCTAGGGCCTAGGGCTGTTTTTTTTTACTCTGTCGCTTCACTTTTTTTCTGAAAAATCTAAGGTGTGGTTCTCCTAAAACACAGTAAGTCCATCTTCCCATTCTACATGACGTCCCTAATCAAAGCTAAGTACTCATTTTCACCCGATTGAGTCAGAGGAAATAGGTATAAAGTGCCTTTCCTAAGGGCACAACACTGGGCCTGCCAGGGATTTGAACCCAGAACAGCTTAGTACACAACCCTTCCCACAAGACCACCTTCTCACCATATTATTACATGTGAAGAACTTACATTGTACATCTAGAACTTGCTCTGCAGTCTGGACGTCCAGTTGGTCTGGGTACCCCTGGTCTGCTTTGCACACAAAATTGGCCTGGTCGTCAAACCTCGTGACTGGAGACAGCGACAAATCCCGGATCACCTGCCGCGCGGCTTCGTTGGTAGTGGGTTCTCCTACGCCCGCGTCCATGGGCTGGGTTCCGTTGAACCACGTGAGGGTGGGGAGGGGCTTGCCGCCGTCCGACCGGCAGGTCAACGTCAGGTCGTCCCCTGCTCTAGCTGCACTGTTAACTGTGGAGACGATGGTGGGGGCACTTGCTGCAACTGTAAACAAGCACATGTCAATCAATAGTACAATCTGTAGTGTGTAACAAACTAGAGCATCTAATATAGCTATGTTCTATTTTTATTGTCCCAGAACTACCTCAAAAACAGGTCAAATGACCTGAGTGCAACCTTCTGGCAAAATAAATAAACTGAAACTGAAAAACTAGAACTTCACCAATTTTTTTTTTCCAGACCAAAACATAAAAACACACAAATACAACCACAAACATGAATGTGCTCTAGGCATTATAATCCTCACCATATCTTCAAACTACAGTAAGTCTACACAGATAATGAATACAAAGCAAGACTGGCTTACAAAACAACGGACGTTACCTAAAACTGTCAGGTCCACCGATTTGGTGTCTGCCGAACCTTGACTCAGCACCTTCACTGTACATCTATACGTGCCCTCGTCGTTTTCTCCCACGTTCTCAATTCTCAGCGAGGCCTGCTCCGTGATGGACGCGCGGTTCTCGTATGTCCCAAACACGCTCTGCGTGTTGGCCAACATGGTGACCACCTCCCTGCTTTCTGTGCTGGAGGTGAAGCTCCATGTGATGATGTCTACCTGTGCTGCCGGCGTCACGCTGTACGTACATTGTAACACTACTGTGTTCTCCTTCAGGACAGTCTGGGCAGGTCCTACACTCACTGTTACCGCAGCTTCAATATCTGTGGGACAAAAAAAGTGAAAAGAATGTCTCAAAGTATATGTTAAAAAATTTAAACCTGGGGGATTTACTTCATATGCCAGGATTGTACATCGAGATATCATAAAATTCAATCATCCCATGACAGACACCCTTTTTATTCATCCCATGAGAAATAACTGCACTTATGACACATTGACGCCTCATTCCTTAGCAATGTATTCTTGAAACATATCTATGAAGTACGGTCTAAAACGTACGTCGTTTAGACCCTGCGTCAAGTGTAACCGTTTGTGACATTGCATGTAACGCTGACATTTCGCTTATGATTGCTAAATACATTACAGTCATCTCAGATACATGAGTGGATTAGGCACGTATCCCTGAATATCACCAGCGTTCATCAACCAACGCCTGACAATATGCCCCTCCCATTCTGTATCACCAGCCTGGGCAAAGGCCACAAATTAATGATGAGACAGGCTCGACTTATTAGATTCCGAGATCGCTTGCAGCTACTGATTAGCCTGGTAATGCGATAACCTCGCTCACAATGACATTTCAGTCACATGCAAGGGGAGAAAGATCAATGAACTAGCTTTACAACAACCATATAAAAGGTGATCCTTTAAACAAACTCTTACACACTAACGTGAGATTGTTTTAAGTTGCTCTCTGTAAAACACGACCGGACACCCTGATCTGAAGATGCAATTATCATCTCAAATCACCATTGCTTCCATTCTTTAGATACTGGGAAACCAGTCTACATTCTATCCCATGGTAACTATTGAATACTGGGCATGTCTAAATCACCGGATCGGGGGCCCACTATAGAATCCCCTTTGTATGACCCTTTATGTGAGAACACGGAATCCATTTTCTCTCCAATAATACTGGAACGGCTCAGAACAAAATGCTAGCTGGTGTATGGTCAGTTGGGTGCACTTCCTAGACGATGTTTACATCGCAAGATTTTTATTTCAGGTGGCAACAGGGCCATACCCTATATCATCTATAGCTACAGACTGACTTTTATTGTGCTAACAATTGCTGGTAAAACTAAATAGAAATTTGTTTTAGTCAATACACATTAATACACTACATAACACCTTTTGACAAAGTATAAAGGGATCAATGTAAGACCACATCTCCACCAATAGATCCAGTGTCTTTGATAAGGTTCCTTGCTAGAAAATAATACTGTAAATACCATTTGAATGTATTTAATGCATTTTTCTTAAGGCTATATTGCTGTGTGAATAGAATTTTAACCACATACAAAATAGCTCAATAGTATCCATACTAAGTTAAAGAGGAGATTTTCCACATCAAAAACACATCTTGGCAATCAATCAAGCAGAAGCCCTGAATAACGGTTTTTTGATAAGGGAATTTATTATTTCAATGATAAATAACTCGGTTGCTTTCCGTGTTAAAAGGCAACCCTATGTGATTCAAAACAGTTGTCAGTTGACATTGTTACAGTTGACAACATGACCTTTTATTTCTCAATATATCAGACTACGTGTCAATGGTTTTATCAATGTCCTTACACATATTTTGGTATATCCAGCCCCTTTAACCCTCATTCTGCTGCCTAATTCTGTGACTGATAAAGGATTAGTGGCCGAATATCTACTTTAGTGTGAAGGTTAAAATGCCACATATTGTTTTGAATATGTACATGTAACTAATTGAAAAGATGGACAGTACAGTACTGGTAACGCTGGTGAATTGAAAGTCTAGTCACATCTTACACTTCAGAAGTCCCACTCCTATTCTGATGAGATAGCATGGGCAATCATACACATGCACAGCTATAGCTGCAAGAGATAATGACATATTCATCCTGACGGAAAAGGTCAAACACCCATTTGGCAGAAAGATGCTGCAAGACGTACATTCACGTCTTCCTGCTCCGCTTTTCTTCTGGCCCACAGGTAGTGTTTACCACGCAGGGGTGCATTTCTCAAATGCCAACATTCTGTGATTGATTTCTTAGCAGTTGTTCAACACTACACTGCAGGGTTCTGAGTTCTTTGAAGAGCCATGTGTGGGTGTATGCAATCATTTTCACCCAGCTTGGGTTGGGACTGAAGGTGCTTTTAAAGACTTTCAATTCACCAGCGTTACCAGTACTGTACTGTCCATCCTTTCAATTAGTTACATGTACATATTCAAAACAATATGTGGCATTTTAACCTTCACACTAAAGTAGATATTCGGCCACTAATCCTTTATCAGTCACAGAATTAGGCAGCAGAATGAGGGTTAAAGGGGCTGGATATACCAAAATATGTGTAAGGACATTGATAAAACCATTGACACGTAGTCTGATATATTGAGAAATAAAAGGTCATGTTGTCAACTGTAACAATGTCAACTGACAACTGTTTTGAATCACATAGGGTTGCCTTTTAACAAGGAAAGCAACTGAGTCATTTATCATTGAAATAATATAATTACCATATGACTTTCAAACCAATATCAGTGGTACCACCTACATTGTGTACACAATACATCCAATCACACCAGTACAGTGTCCTGAGCTCTGATCCTGAATTTAGAGGGTTTTTTTTAATCCTGTTAACATCTAGATGCTAACAAATCAAAATGCAATAATTACTCAAAGACAAATGTTCTGACACAGTACGGCCTTGAGGAAAACTAGGTATGATTAATCAAGATTACTCAGATCCTGATTTCATATATAGATATCCTATAATAAACAATCCGCATATCAGATATCACGTAGGAAAGGAACTAGACTGGCTCAGTCACATCCTCATCCCTTCCTCCTTCCTGACCACAAAGTTTAATCTATCTGGCTGATAAGTGACAGTTAATGACTTCCTGATAAACTATCTGTCCCACCTAGCTCCCAGTCACTGTCCCTCCCCCTGCCCTCCCACAGGTAATCAACAGTCATGGCTGGGTGATGATGAACCCTTTTTTTGTGGTTCCAGATGGCAGTTTAGTTGCAAACTACCGTACTGTATTTCAAGAAATATTTGCGACGGTTTTATATTCACAGTTTTCGCAACTGAACTTTCACAACAAGCTCATCACACCCTAAACATGTATTCTGTCTACCACTGCATGTGCGTTGCTACAGTTGTTTTGACTACAAAAAACACCTTTCTCTTTCCACGGCAAAATGAAGTCCCCGCAAACTTGAAACGATTTACAGTAGTCGCTCCCTGCTGAACAACCTCATATTGCATGTCCCCAGGTCATATGGCAAGGATGACAGAATTTCCAATCACATCACCAGCCCCAGAATTAATCAGAATAACGAGATGGTAATGGTCTTCACAGGTCAGGGCTCGAAATACGACCTGCACATGCAATTTAGTGCAGGTAAAATTGGAGCTGTGCAGTCATCCTGTCCACCTGCACTGGTCCATGTACTGGGTTTACATAGGTGTATGTGGATTTTTATTTGTGTCTTGACTGGTACCCCTATATTTTGAACGAATGTAAAAGAAATAAGACATTAATGGCAATGGTTTATGAACAGTTTCAGTGTAATCCATATTTCCTAAATTCTGAGTTGTGCAGGTAATATTTGTCTGGCGCAGAGGTACATGTAATTTTCAATGTGTACCCGTGCAGGTAAGCAGATTATTTCAAGCCTTGCAGCAGGTACTTAGACCCGGTTTACACGACGACAAAAACCTGGCGTACGATAATGGCGTACGCACGCGATCGTACGTCCGTTTCGGTTTACACGGAGCGGGACGGACAGCGCCGGGACTCCCGCAGCGCTCCACACTATCGTGACCCCATTTGACCCGCCGCGAGCTTTGACATAGCGCTATTTTCAAAATGGCGGGAGAACAGGCACTTTTTCTGTTCTTCATGCGTCAGATGTTGCTATTCTTCTTTTCGCGGATGTACTTGCGTCGCCGGGCATTGCGTAGAAGAAGGGTTGGACGTCGCAGGGAGCGGTACCATGAGATCCAACGGGCAGCAATTTTTGCAGTCATTGCAATCATTCAAGCTCAAGGCGGGATCGATCGGTCAGTGTGGGAACGTGACAGTTAGAGCTATTGCGCACTTCTGCCATGGTCAGTTGCGGCAGTCGCGAGCAAACAGGCTCAGCAAAACAACAAACAAATCAAATACGATAAAAAAACAAAAGGAAAACCGAAACGGATCAGAGAAAACAGAGTTAAGATCAGTAACACGGCGTGGGTTTTCACAGGCGCGGGAAGAAGAATGGAATTTGCATATGACCCCTGACCTCCTGCAACAGGGAAGTGCTTGCGAACGCCGTTCGTACGATCAGTCGCGTTTACACGAGGCGGAGAGGCATCCTGACTCCCCGCTGGGCGATCGTACACGATCGTACGCCTGCCTTCGAGGTGGCGTACGCAAATTGCGTACGATAGGTGCGAACGATAGGTGGGGCCGGTTTACACGCTGGAAAAAATGGTCGTACGCAATTGTCGTACGATCGCGTGCGTACGCCATTATCGTACGCCAGGTTTTTGTCGTCGTGTAAACCGGGTGGTACTGATCTACATCCCCATACTGACATAGAAATACAGCCACCGAGGGGGGGGCTTTACATGTTTTATTCACAACACAGTACCTGGCTTCTCAAACTATCTGCATACAGTAGCATGCAATGGTTCACGCTTCACCTGTTAAAAGGCAGGTATATCAAGAAGTAACATCTGTTTTTGAGGGAGAGCAGGACAAGGAATGCAGACACAGGGCTTCTTCTGACAGCTGTTTACATAAGAACTGGTGGCTAAATTTATGGTCTTCTTAATTGTTTATACAAGCTATCTGTTTTCCCTTCTTCCTAGAGAGTATGGTTGTTTCAAGATAATGTCAATAGATCACAACATATTTTCATATCATAAATGTTCCATTAGACATAATTACTTTGTGACAGTATTATCTATAGGGTTAAGCATAGGGTGTTTTTATTTTCTATATAAAAACCATGAGCTGCATTTCACTAACTCTGAATAAGCTGCAGTCCTTGGGATTACCTTGTATCAGCAC